ACTATGTTTGTTAAAGTGAATGACTTTGACTTATATTCAAGGTCACAGGGGTCAAATTTGTTTAAAATCTTTAAATGATCTCTTCTGAGTAACCATGGGTCCCAGGATGTTGATACTTTGCAAGTTGCATCCTGAGATGAAAGGCTATAAAATTTGTTCAACATAATGACTTTGTTCGACTTTCAATCACAGGGGTGAAATGTTTAAAAAAAAATAACAGGTTCTTTTGAATGAATTTTAATCATAAATACTGATGCTTTATTTTAGATAACTTTTAAGGTTAAAAGTGTGAGATTTATACCAGGTGAGCAATGCAGGCCCATTGGGCCTCTTGTTTTGTAATGTCAGCTGATAATGTTTTTGTTTTTTTTCATAACTTCAACTTCATACTTGATTTTAGAAATCATTTTCATCATTAACATTACAGATGTACATTATCATTATAGAAAGGTTAAAGGTCAGCCATTCAACTGATGTTACGAAATAATAGAGAGTAGACAACTCTCAGTCATGTTTTGTCAAAATAAAACTTATGAATTTTTAAAATGCTTTTGTTATAAGTTCATCTATCATATAAACTAAAAGTTGATATTTTAACAGATAAGTTACTGAAAACCTGAGTACTAGTTTTACAACAATGGCAAAGCATTGTTGCGGTGGTATCGGGTATAGTTACTGCTGAAGCTATAACACATCTTTGATGTGATTGTGCTGCTGTGATGGTTCAAAAACATACAACATTATAGATCTATTTTATTAACTTTGGGGCAAGGCCATTGTTTGTTTGTAGTTGAGCTGTTGTATCTTAGTCTATCAGTAATCAAAGGGTCAGATGAGCTAGGCAGCTTATGTTAAAAAGTTAGTGTGCAACCATCATTTAGTCAACTTACTACTATCTACAAACTTTTATAAGTATGCCTTGGCCATTCAGGTTCTGACATACTGGTAGATTAATTCGTGCTAAACTACTGTAAAAGTGGATTTTTCTGCGGTGGGGAAATTACTGCCAAAATAACCACACACAAATATTATTTATAGATATATAGAATATAGAGTTTCCAGAACCAACATGAAAATGTCAACACCATGATCAGTTATGAGTCACAAAGCAAACATTTCCACACCATGATCGGTTAAGAGTCACAACGCGAACGTTTCCATACCATGATCGGATAAGAGTTGCAAAGCGAACATTCCCAAACCATGATCGAATAAGAGTCACAGCGCAAACATTTCCACACCGCGACCAGTAAAGAGTCACAACACGAACATTTCCACACCATGACCGGTTAAGAGTCGCAACACGAACATTTCCACACCATGACCGGTTAAGAGTGACAACATTTCCGGACACAAACTGATTCCACTTTACAGGAACGTTTACTACCATGATATCTCGGACAAGTTCGATAACCGCAATTATCGGACCATAATTTACGGAATTATGGCCCTTTATTCAATTGCTAAAACAGTGTCTGCTTGATATCTCGAGTAGTTTTCAATGGATTAATTTCAAACTTAATAGGAAGGTTATTTATCATGATAGCTCAGACAAGATTGATAACCTACATTGTCCAACCATACTTTATGGAGTTATGGCCCTTTATGTACTACCCATTCAATGCATGATGGGCGTATCATGTTCCACTTTCAGGGTACCCTTCTTAACATTGTTATACCCTTTTTACCAGTATTACTCTTTTATACAAGCATAATCTTTTTTCTACCAGTGTTATCCCCTTAACAAAAGTACAATCCTGTTTATATTAGTGTTATCTCTCTTAAAACGAGTGTTATCTCCCTTAACAAACTATGTATCTCCCTTTAAATGAGTGTTATCTCCCTTTACAAACTATTAATCTCCCTTTAAATGAGTTTTCTCCCTTCACAAACTATAAAGTGTTATCAATGTACAATGTATGAACCTCTTTATACCATCGTTTTCCACATCATACCACTTTTATACCCATATAACATGGTTTCCCTATATACCACTGTTATCTCCAATATAACATTGTTTCCCTATATACCACTGTTATCTCCAATATAACAGTGTTTCCCTATATACCACTTATCCCCATATAACATTGTTTCCCTATATACATTCATGTACCACTGTTATCCCCAATATAACATTGTAACCCTATATACCACTATTATCCCCAATATAACATTGTTTCCCTATATACCACTGTTATCTACAATATAGCATTGTTTCCCTATATACCACTGTTATCTCCAATATAACATTGTTTCCCTAAATATCAGTGTTATCTCCAATATAACATTGTTTCCCTATATACCACTGTTATCTCTATTGCAACATTATTTCCCTATATATAACTGTTATCTCCAATATAACATTGTTTCCCTATATACCACTTATCTCCAATATAACATTGTTTCCCTATATACCACTTATCCCCATATAACATTGTTTCCCTATATACAACTGTTATCCCCAAAATAACATTGTTCCCCTATATATATACCACTGTTATCTCCAATATAGCATTGTTTCCCTATATACCGCTGTTATCTCCAATGTAACAATGTTCCCCTATATACCACTATTATCCCCACTCTAACATTGCTTCCCTATATATCACTGGGATCTCCAATATAACATTGTTCCTCTATATACCACTATTATCCCCACTCTAACATTGCTTCCCTATATATCACTGGGATCTCCAATATAACATTGTTCCCCTATATCCCACTGTTATCCCTAATATAACATTGTTTCCCTATATACCACTGTTATCTACAATATAGCATTGTTTCCCTATATACCACTGTTATCTCCAATATAACATTGTTTCCCTATATATCACTGTTATCTCCAATATAAAATTGTTCCCCTATATACAACTGTTATCCCCAATATAACATTGTTCCCCTATATACCACTGTTATCCCCAATATAACATTGTTTCCCTATATACCACTGTTATCCCCAATATAACATTGTTTCCCTATAAACCACTGTTATCCCCAATATAACATTGTTTCCCTATATACCACTGTTATCTCCAATGTAACATTGTTTCCCTATATACCATTTATCCCCAATATAACATTGTCCCCCTATATACCACTGTTATCCCCAATTTAACATTGTTCCCTTATATACCACTGTTATCCCCAATATAACATTGTCCCCCTATATACAACTGTTATCTCCAATATAACATTGTTTCCCTAAATACCACTGTTATCCCCAATATAACATTGTCCCCCTATATACCACTGTTATCTCCAATATAACATTGTTCCCCTATATACAACTATTATCCCCAATATAACATTGTTCCCCTATATACCACTGTTATCCCCAATATAACATTGTTTCCCTATATACCACTTATCCCCAATTTAACATTGTCCCCCTATATACCACTGTTATCCCCAATATAACATTGTTTCCCTATATACTACTGTTATCCCTAATATAACATTGTCCTC